TGAAAGAGCAGACACTATTGTTTATTCAATTTATTCACATGAAATTAACCCTAACAGACATGAAATGTAATCCCAACCTATTGAACCTGCGCCAAGCTTAATTAACAGGCTACCCTCAGCTCAGGCTCTAATATGTTTACTTTCCTCGCGGCTATGAAGTCAAAATTAACCAAAGAGGTTTGTCATAATATATAGCAGCTATGAAACAGAAAGGAAAAAAAGAAAAACAATTAAGAGATCAAGTGATGAATTATTAAAAAAACAAACTAAACAGAATAATCTTTTGAAAAATATGCAGACAGGTCGACCAACAAAACCTCAGAATGGACGCTGGAGGAGAACAGTAGACTACCGAGCCCCGAGCCCCGCCAATCTTGAACACCTGTAGCTGAGACTCATTTCTCATCTTCTTCTCTTGCACCAATGAGGGCAATCTAAGAATATGTTGATTAGCTGAATGACAACACTATATCTATTAGCCTTTCGATTTATTTCCTTTTTGAACTCAAACTCACTATAATCTTTTATTCAGACTACATCACAATCACAACAGAATGAACCCTTAAAATACCTACTTTTACCCATCTCTAACATTTTGGAATGGATATCTAGGAGCCCGGATGTGAAATCATCAACTTTATTTGTTCTGCAAAACAGGGAAAAAACATTCAGCATTAGCACAATGTAAAGAGATATATCGAATTGTATATCATGGTAGATGCAACTATACAAATCATCAGAAGCAGAAAAGGAACAGACAAGAAGACAGGGAAAAAGTAAGATAAAACAGATAAGATAAAGATAAGTAAATATAAGATAACAATAGCATAAATGTTTGAACTGCTTGTGGAGAAAACGTTCACCTCAGTCTCAAGTGGGCTTCTCCAATCAACTCCTAAAAAGGAGAAGAAAATGATGAAATAGAAAAGAGACAAAGAAAACTTGAACTATCGATAGAGATTAAAAAAATCAAGCCATATGACGAAAGCTCTCTCCCACTTATAATATCTCTATTTACCTCTAGTCCTTCAAGTGGACATGCAACTAAAATGATCATTTCCACGAAAAGAGGAGATGAGAAACCATTCCGGTCATCAATACAATATACTTCTTAGTAATACAAACCAGAAATAATCAAACGAGAGAAACATAACTTACAAAAAAAACATGGTGAGAAGTGCCATGTCCCCCTCCTCCTCCTCCACCACTGCCCCAATTGTGATATCCATAATGACGATCTCTTGAAGATGAAAGGTTTATTCAACCTATGTCATTTGAATAAACAAAAAAAACAGTCAATGAAAAAACAGCAAACAGACCAATTGATTCCAAACCAGTGCAAGTAATCTATTGCCAGAGCAGAAGGAATGGGCATCTAAGATACAAGGAACATTGGCAGTTTCATCTAGGTTGGTTAGAGCAGAGGTGCCTCTAAGTATGCATGGGAGAGGTACCAGGCTGGGTTCAAATATTGTGAACCCCAAAGATGACAACAATACGAATAGTAATAATACGTATAAGAAACAAGGTGGGTATGATGATATTCTTTAATTTAGAATCTTGGATAGGATGAATTTTTAGTAGGTAAAACCATTATTGCGGTTCTTATGATTATCATTAGCAATGTTGTTTTGAAGTTAAGACTACTATCTTTGTAAAATCCTCCTATAAGTTACCAGTTTATGGTGTTTAGAAAAAAGAACAATTAATCTACACCACAGACACAAAGATGAAACATTCAATTGAACCCAAAAACATATATAGTCAGGGAACAATCAGAAGCAAGAATGAATTTAAAAACTAATCTTATATAGAAACAAATGTGTTTCATATCACATAATAAATCCAAATAAAATCCAAGTGAATCTCTGTTTAGGCTTACCCCGCAAAAAATCAGAAATCTGTGTAGCTTGAAGTGGTATACGTATACCAATTAGGTATACATATATCGACTCAAACCTCAAACTAAACCAAAACAACTAATTGAAATGAAACCTTAAAGTCCAGCCAATCCATGAAGGCAAGAAGAATGGATGAGTTTGCTCTGATTCAGCATTTGTACGATGACTTCGCTCTGCCCATCATTACAAAAGCAAACATTAGGGCCATAAATACGGCTCTGTATTAGAGTGGGGGCGGAAAATGGTATTTTATTGAATTATATCCAGATTTTAATATCAAAATGAATTTTCTGCTAATCTTTCCACATATAATGTAAACCTAAATCAATAGAGGAATTTAATAATTGAAGACTTAAGTTAAATCTTTAACATGACCAAAATTGAAAGAAATCCATAGAAATTGGAATATGGAGGAGTAAATAATCCCAAATAGTTGGAAATAAGAGAAAGATAGCCCGGCTGCTCCAATGGATGTAGACGGTTAGGTCGATGGATCCCATTTCAGTTTGAAAAAAACAAAACCATCATATTTATTAGCTGACAGTATCAGGGTGAGAGGCGGTGTTATCGTATTACCGGAGAAGGTTGAATCTTGTGGACGCTGGGCACAGGAGAAACTTGAATCTCGTGGACGCAAAGATTTTCCCAAATTAGCCGAAACGACACAAAGCGTTCTTGAAAAGAGACTGAAGTTCCCGGTGAGGCCATCTATTGGAGCTGCTTGATACTCCATTGAAGCTGAGAGGCTTGGCGGAAGAAGACTCATGTCAACCCTAGCTCTGCCATCTGCGAGTTTCTGGGGAGCGAAATGACTAACGAATCGGGAAAGACATCCGGCCTGTTTTATGTGGATGAGCGATAAAGAGAGGAAAGAAAACGGAAGTGTTAAACGTTGAACTGTAGCAACGGAAAAATGCCCAAGTTAACTTCCTTTCGCGATTTATATATAAGTAGATATATATATATATATAGAGTAATGATCCTGTCCGGACGTCCGGACAGGGAACCGCCGTCCGGACCGCGGCGTTTGGCCGCCTTCCCGGTGGCGTTTTTTGATGAAATTTTTATGGCATGTTCTCCATCAAGTCTAGTTTATCCACAAAAAAATTCAGCCAAAAACTCAATCGGGAAGGTCGTCAAATGATTTTTGCAAGTTAACTGGTCCGGAATATGTATTTTCCGGACCAGTTAACTTGCAAAAATCATTTGACGACCTTCCCGATTGAGTTTTTGGCTGAATTTTTTTATGGATAAACTAGACTTGATGGAGAACATGCCATAAAAATTTCATCAAAAAAAACCACCGGGAAGGCGGCCAAACGCCGCGGTCCGGACGGCGGTTCCTGTCCGGACGTCCGGACAGGAATATTTGTCTATATATATATATATATATATATATATATATATATATATATATATATATATATGTGTGTGTGTGTGTGTGTGTGTGTGTGTGTGTGTAATATTTATAATTAGTAAAAAAAAATATAGTGAAAATTTTGAATTTTGGCCCCTACTATATAAATTCTTTAAGGTCCGACCCTTGTAACCTGTCAATCATGGCTCCGCCACTGTATCCTATGTTAAATATATCAATCTCAAATCATAAACAAAAATACCTAATAATCATTGGCATAACTGAACTGGGTACCACCTCCTACCACCTCGACCCTACCCCGACCCACCCTACCCTCACCCGTATATTACCCCTTACCCCTTACCACATGCCCATACCTCGGCCCCACCCTTCCGCCACCCGACCACCATCATACCCCCCACCCTACCCTTCCCCTACCTCGGTCCCACCCAGATCCCGGGCTCGCCCTATCCCACTACCCCCACCCTTACCGCCATCCTACCCCCACCCTACCCCTTCCGTACCTCACCCCCACCCTACTGCCATCCTATCCCAACTCCATACCCTATCTCTACCTTACCCCAAACCCTACCCACTTCCCCACCCCTACCCCTAACCACGACCCTAACCCACCCACTACCCCCACCCAACCCCCTACTCCTAGACCTTACCACCCCACCCCGACCATACCCCTTATCCCACCCCCACCCATAACTTCCTTACCCCGACCCCTATGAGTAGGTATGGGTGGGTATGAAGGGTTGTGGGGGAGTATGGGTAGAGTGTAAGATTGTGGTAAGGGTAGGGGTCAAGGGTGTGAAATTGGAGAACTGTGTGAAAAAATTGATGAACATGTTTTCATATTTGAAAATGGAAAACTAAAAAATAGAAACAGAAAATTGAAGATAGAAAATCTGAAAAATAAAAATAGAAAATTGGAGAACGAAAAACAGAAGTAGAAAACAGGAAAATATCTCTGTTAGTAAACAAGCCCTAATATTTTATGCATCAGAACTATTACGTGCATAATTATTAAAAAAACATCTGACCAAGTACATTTTAATGTTTTTTTCTAGTTACGCTCCTACTAAAAATTATAACCTGACCGATAGGCCGATAGGTTGATCAAATTATCATGACTTATAAATTTTCATTATTTCATATGCTCTGGGAGGCCGGAACATGGGATTTAGGATGTGAAAACTGTTAAATAGGTCCTCGAACTTTCATAAAAAAGTCAATTAAGTCCTTCTATCGAAGACTCTGTCCGGTCGTCGCGATTTGGGGCGGTTCCTGGTGGAATTTTTTTATGAAATTTTTTGAGCATCTTATTCACCAAGTCTAGTTTACTCATACCAAATTTCAGCTAAAAATTCAATCGGGAACACATTCAAATTAATTCTTGAAGATAACTGCGCATTTTTGCGTTCTCGAATTAATTTAGAAGGCCGGACAGAACCTCCTATAGAAGGACTTAATTGACCTTTTTATAAAAGTTCGAGGACCTATTTGACAGTTTCCCGATTTAGGATTGAGGATTTTCATTAAATTTTCATTCAACCTTATGGAGAAATTACAACCGGACCGGTTCATTAGGGTGTCACTTTAAAGCCGAGCGGGCCACAGCAAAATGAGAAGTAGACCGGGTTTATCCAGGCAAAGAGCTAAAAGTGAAAAGACAAGAGAAAGGGAACAACAAAACCAAAAGTTCTTCTTTCTAGCTTCTCATCCAAAATCTCGCCCTTTAATTAAACTAAAATTCGGTTTTGACCCAAAATCCTGTGTCAAACTTTCTGACCTTCCCGTCCTTAAAACCTCCTGCTACCTCTTCTTAGTTCTTCCCCATAACTGAAGTCGCCATTTTTGCAACTTCCTTCTAGTAGAGTTCGAAGTTTCGAACTACACCCGTATTTGGTGGTAAACACAGGATTTGAGTTTAAGAAACAAAAAAACAACAAATATCAAAATGCAGCCGCTAAACATTATATTTCTGGTTGTGTTGGTTGGAGCACTTCTGGAGAATCAAGTGGCTTCTAGTCTTGTTGAGAATGATAAACAAGCATTGCTCTCTTTCGCGAACAATCTCCACCATTCCAGATCCCTGAACTGGAATGCGGAGCTGCCAGTCTGCATGAACTGGACTGGAGTGGAGTGTAGTGAAGATGGGTCTAGAGTGATAGCATTGAGGCTACCTGGGGTTGGATTTAACGGTTCCATCCCTGTGAATACTCTCAGCCGTTTATCAGCATTGCAGATCTTGAGCCTCAGATCCAACGGTATTTCTGGAAACTTCCCTCTTGATTTTGGAAAGTTGAGCAACTTGTCGTATCTTTATTTGCAGTACAACAATTTCTCTGGTCCTTTGCCTTTAGATTTCTCTGTTTGGAAGAACCTCTCGGTTGTTGACTTGTCTAGCAATAGGTTCAGTGGTAGCATTCCCATTACAGTGTCTGGTTTGAGTAACCTCACTTCTTTAAACCTTGCCAATAACTCAATCTCGGGAGAAATCCCTGACTTGAATTTGCCTAATCTGCAATATCTCAATTTGTCTCACAATAATCTCACTGGTATAGTGCCAAAGTCATTCCAAAGGTTTCCTAGGGCTGTGTTTGTGGGAAACAATGTTTCCTTGTTTGATGATTTCGCTTCTTCAATTCCCATTGTTTCTCTTCCTCGAGAACCAACCAGCAGTGTTCCAAAGTCAAAGAGTTTCGGAAAATTGAGAGAGAGGGGAATTCTTTGGATTTCAGTTTCTGTTAGTGTTCTTGGGGTAGTGGGATTTGGTTGTCTGTTTCTTGTTTGTTGTCTTAGAAGACAAGACGATGAAGCATTCTTGGGGAAGTTGGAGAAAGGAGGCATGTCTCCAGGGAAGGCTGTTTCAGGGGCTGAAGATGCAAATAATGGATTGGTATTCTTTGAGGGTAGTAATTATGTGTTTGATTTGGAGGACCTCTTGAGAGCTTCTGCTGAGGTGCTTGGAAAGGGCACCTTTGGAATGACTTATAAGGCAATACTAGAGGACGCAATTACAGTAGTCGTGAAGAGGTTGAAGGATGTGGGAGTCGGGAAGAAGGAATTTGAGCATCTGATGGAGGCAGTGGGAAGCATTAAACATGAGAATGTGATTGAGCTTAGAGCTTATTACTATTCCAAAGAAGAGAAGCTCATTGTGTGTGACTACTCCAGCCTGGGAAGTGTTGCTGAAATGCTGCATGGTATGTTTGCTTCTTTAATCATTCTTGGTAATGATATTGTTTATTTGTTAAATTTGAACTTTTTTATACCATCGCGTTTTACGTACTGAATCTTTGATGCTATAGAATATGCTTGTAGACTTGGGTATATGTAAATAAGATTTACAAATGAGAAAAGGATGTCAGGGTGAGATGAAGAAGAAATTTCATTTGGAAGTGGGAAAAAAGTATTTGGCCCCAATGTGATTAATTTCAAACAGTGCAAGGACTCATTGAAATATTTTCAGAAAAGAAAGGGCTTACTGAAAGAAAGTAAAAGATGAGGACCTCAAATGCTGAATACAAAATTTGGAAAGGATAGGGACCAAACGATTTGTGTTTTTTTCCTTTGGACATGAATGTCAAATCTAATCAATTAAAAAAAGAAACGATGGCCTAACAAATTCGACCTACTTGCCACTTGTTTTGGATAGCTCATTGTTAGCTATCTGGCACTAGAAAAAATAGAAAATAGTATTAATAATATAATAGAGGTGAGGATTTTGTGGATTGTCACTCATGTGGCCTGGTAGAGCATATTTGCTGGGACAGAGAGGGTTTCTTTGTTAAAATGAGTACGTTTATGTTTGTCTCTATCCCAAATGCCAATCATTTTATTTATTGTCATTTGTCACCTTTGCTTTTGTCACTTTCCTTCAAGCTATTGTCATCTATTTGCTCTAAAAATCCCTACCCAGGAGTAGTAGATTTCCTTGGCCTTCAACGTTTTATTCTTTTCAAATAGACCCACCTAATCCCATATATGCTCCACGTGACTCCGCGGAACCATCGCTTAAGTGCTTGGCACAAGTCTGTCGTCCGAATATTGTATCCTTCAGGCTTGTTTGGTTCGTGGACCTTGGAGGGGAGGAGATGATTGATTTTCTACTTTACCAACTTATCTCTATGTGTTACTTTTAGACTAAAAAATAACTACTCAGGGTATATGATTAGTTAGATCATGTAGTCTATTGAGTTTTTTAATCTTCCCTTTCTTTTCAACCTTCTAAATGTAGAAGTTGTCTAAAAAAATGTATCACCCCTCCCCTTCAACCCCTCTGAAATCCCCGAACCAAACAAGCCATTACTGAGCATGTTATTCCGAAACAAGCTTTACCGATTTGGCTGGATCAATTTTACCAAACGCTTTTGCTTTAAAAAAATTCAACAGATTCATCATTTCAGTTAGATATTTTTTTCCCAAAGTGTGACGTTAACATACAATTATCCCTTAACATTGCAGGTAAAATGGGGGGAGAAAGTAGAGCACCACTGGATTGGGAAATAAGGTTAAGGATAGCCATAGGTGCAGCCAGGGGTATAGTTCGAGTTCATGGTGAGACTAGTGCAAAGCTAGCTCATGGGAACATCAAGTCCTCCAACATTTTCCTAAACTCCAAACAATACGGCTGCATTTCTGATGTTGCCCTGTCATCATTGATGACCTCGTTGGCCCCACCAGTGGCTCGTGCTGCAGGTTACCGTGCCCCAGAAACCCTTGATACTCGCAAACCAACACATTCTTCTGATGTCTACAGCTTCGGTGTGCTGCTGCTGGAGCTTCTCACCGGGAAATCCCCCATCCACACAACGGCTGGGGATGAAATCATACATTTAGTCCGGTGGGTTCATTCTGTGGTTAGGGAGGAGTGGACTGCTGAAGTGTTTGATATAAACCTGTTAAGGATCCCGGGAATAGAGGAAGAATTGGTGGAGATGCTGCGGATTGCTCTGTCGTGTGTGGTCAGGTCGCCCGATCAAAGACCCAAAATGGCAGAGGTAGTTAAAATGATTGAAAATATTAGGCAGTCTGATCATTCAGAGAGGAACATGGAATCATCTTAAAATGCAACATACTAGTAGAAACTCAATAACAATTCATTTGTATCCCACATTGCTATAATCTGATTCTACTTGGGTTAAATTGTATATTCACTGTATAAGTTATCAGTGGACTCAGGATTATTCTCAGTCACTAAATCAGAGTAATTAGAGGGGTGGATTATTCCGAAAGCCGTAGATCTATGTACGGCTGTGTTAGTGTGTTAGTAGGTAATGCTAGCTAGCTCCAAACCAGCTTGGGAAGCTAGGTTATGTGCATGTTGACAATCAGTTAATGAAAATCTCTTGCACATAATGTTTACCGATTAAGAGATGATAATTATCAATACTACTCCTGTTCTTCTATTATTTTGTTATTTGTTATGTAATTCTTTTTAGGAAGTTCTTATGGTTCCATTTTCTAATTTGGCAAGTTTTACCCCTACTTATACCAATACTTTACACAATACCCTTACTTTTTTTTTATCTTTCTTACTTTTGTTTTATACTTTTTCATAATCTTTCTCCAACTATTTTCATCTTCATATTTGTCAAAACCATACATGAACAAATTAAGAAAAACTATTGTTGTTTTTACAACATTAATACATGACATTGATGCAAAGATGATCCATTACCTGGGAAAAGGATGTCACTTGGTGGTTGTGAACTTGTGATGCCAAACGGTCCGGTAGGTCACTTAATGCTATTGGGGACTTGTCATATCAGAATGTTCGGATTTTTTTTCCTGTCTGAAAGTTTATAGAAATATTGATCAAGGGTAATAAAGGGTGGTAGATAGACTTGTACCAAAAGGACCGGACAGGGCCTTTTGCTATTTTTTTTATCCATGAGTGGAGAGGCCAGGCATAAGTAGCTAGAAGACGAGCTCATAACATGCTCATATTCATCTTTCAAATGCCTAATTTTATTTTTCAGTTTACTTTTTTAGTTAGGAAAGATCAAACTGATCTTTGCAATTAGTGCTGAAATCCAACTGTATTAACAATTATATGGGTAACAAGGATGGCATATCATTTTAACAATTTTGAGGGAATTTGACATTCCCCAATTCATATATTGAGATTTTAGACTTTGCACTACATAGTTCTAAACAATTAGTGTATCAGTGTATGTTTCCCCACCCCATAAGTTCAAAAGCTTTGAAGAAAATATGGCCCAAACATTAATTTTCTATATTCAATGGGTGCACGCATTAACTTTTCCTTAAGATGGAGTATCAAGCCAAATTCTACCCAAAAAAGAAAACGAGTTAATGCATATAACATGCACAGTAAAAACTTTGAGCTACACTATATATGTTTCATATAAAAACTTATGCGTTAAATTATTTAAAAGAAAGTTTAAAATAGATTATTTTATTGTTTCGGACTACATTTGTGTCTTCTCATTTTTCATTGATTATGTATTATATTATTATATGGAGTAGGTCTGTTTTTATTTTGCAATTACTATGTCTTTCAATCTTGATTGGATCTAGAAGGGCTAAGATGTTGATTGCTAGCTAAATACTTTTCAAATTTTCTTCTTCCAGTTTTGCAGCCATCAATCTCATTTCAAGCTTCAACATCAGTTCAGTTTTCATTCATGAGCTCCATTAGTGTTCAAATTTGCACATTAAAGCTTTACAGGAACTATAATTTTACACCCACCAATTCCCACCTCGGACTTCGTTCCCGTTCCCAGGTACAATTTTTTGGAACCGGGACCAAGCTGTCTCAAGACCGGTCTGGTCCCCAATGGCTGGACAATTTGGGGAAAAAATTGATCGAGACCCGGTCCATTCCCGGCTTCCATTTTCTTGTATGCAAAATCATAAAATACTGTTTCATTAGATAAACAAGCTTTCTTTGAAACTGCACATAAAGGCAATCATCTCCTTTACCTTTCATGGTGTAAGGTATTTCACGACCATCCCAAGTAAAATACTTGAAACAATACAACGAAAAATTATCTAAAAACTCGCACTTTCCATAAAAACGGTGCAAAAGCTGTTCGCTTTTTTTTTTTTGCACTTTGCATGTCTAGGGTTTATTTTACATCATATCAAATGCCCCATGAGATGCTATCAATTGCACTGGCTTCGGGTATAAAGGAATTCACAGTGAAATAGATGAATCCAGAAACCTTGTAAAAGGAATCCTAAAACATAACCACTAGTCCACTACTCCGACATGTACTTGTTAAATTGAGCATCTTGACATAATTTTTTCGCAAAAACTCTGATATTTCAGGACATCTTCATATAAGTTTGTTATTCCATCCAGTAGGAACATCTAAGCAAAGAAATACTACCTACATCCCGTTTTATTTGTTTTGTTTTGGTTTGACACAATTATCAACAAAATGATTAAAAAGTAAAAGTTATGATTGAGTATTGAATAGAATATATTAGAATGATATGAACCGCATATTTCTAATCATGTTTACCAAAAAGAAAATAATGCATTCATTATAAGACAACCTAAAAAGGAAAGACACATAGACTAGATATCAAGTTGATTATCTAAAGTACAAGCATTTTAAATAGATATTATCATATTAAAGATTTAGGTACATGGCCATATCACCTTATATGTTCCTTTTAAATAAATAAGAGAAGGAATTTAAATTCAGTCAAAGGGAAAAATACAATTCTCACTCACATAAGTATATAGCACAAGAGTTTTAAACATCCAACTTCACATAAAATACTATCATAAAGCTCTGTAGACATCCGTCATTGCCAGGGGTAACTACACAACAGCCTTTTCCAAAAAAAAAAAACACTTAAATTGGCATCGCCTTACCAGTTTCAGCTTCATTTTCTATATTTGTTTCATTCAAAGATCAATGCATACATATATTTAAGAAACTGTTGCATGTAAGGTAAATAAAAATATCTGGGCTGATAGCTTACTCAAATGAAATCTGACAAGCAAGTTTTCACCTGGCCCTTTTGTAAAACCCATAGGCCAAGGCAACAACTGTAACCGAAGCGATCAGCCCAACAGCAGTAAGAGTGTCCCTCCGCTCCCATTTCTCCACCAAACTCGAAAGACATCCATGCCCCTTCTTTTTCTCTACTTCCCCAGGACTCACATCTTTGCAACAGGATATTCCATTAGAACCTTGGCAACAGGTCACAAAACTCCCTTTGCCCTCTTCACTATGAGTCTCTTGAGGTTTGTTTTTTGCATTGCTCAAATTAGTTCCATTGGGAACTGGTTGCTCATCTTTCTTGTCACCTTCCTTAGCACATGCTCCCATTTCACCCCTGCAGTGAGCATGGACAATTATGTAATTTTCCTTAACCACAACTGCCTACAGAAAGACAGAGATTAAAAGCAAAAACGTGGCAAGTGAAGTAAGCTATTTTCATTCAAAAGTAAAAAGTTAAACATACACATAATGTGTCTTGATGAATAAATAATATGGTTTGACACAGACTAATTAGACCGAGACTCATCATCATCATTATCCTAGTGCCGCAAAGGCTCCCACCTACGGTGGGGTAGGGGGGGGGGTCGGATGTATGCAGCCTTACCCCTGTACTAAAGCACAAAGAGACTGTTTCCGGATGAAACATAGTGAAAATCACGTCGAAAATTGCATGGACTTATTGATGCTTTATAACAAAGAAGCGCAAACAGTTTAGTAAGCCATTTTGATTTATTCTTATCATATTACCAAGCCAAAAAATAGTGAGTCTTTGGCTCCATTGCAAATGATGGAAATGTATTTAAAGTTTTAGATCAAAACTAAGTGGAAAAAATCAAAATAGAAACACCATTGCATATTCACATTTAAACTAGGGGATGCATTTTAAATTGGTAACAAAATTATAGAGAAATAAAGTTCACGGTTTTGTACCTCCAAATCCGCTCGATGATTTTCCCCTCACCAATATGTTGATCAAGCAAAGCAGGCACGTCATTTGGGGTAACATAGCCATACCTGAATCACAAGAGAAAATATTATGATATTAAGAGTGAGATCCTTGTGATGTCTGCATAAACCAAATATAGCTATTTATGTACTACTTCAATATTTGATGCATAAACAAAACCAACTGAGTAAATACATTAAAAAATAACAAAAACATGGATAAAGATCATACCAATGGCCAGCAACTTTTCCTTCAACTTCACTGAAGATGATCACATTACCAGCATACTTGTGCCCTCCAATATGTGAACAAGCTGCTACAAAAACTGGTTCTTTCAAGACAATGGCCTCAATCTCCTCCTTAAATTTATCAATCAGAACTGGTCCACAAACACCACACCTCATATCCCGCTTATTATGGGCACAGACAAACACATATGCACCTTGCAGTGACTCAGGCAGCCCAGAAGCCCATGGCTTGCCATTGACAAGCACATCTTCAACAAAACCATCCACTTCAGACTCCTTCAGACCCCTACCAGAAAAAAGTATAACAATTAAGACGTGGAGCCAATTTTAAATGTATAAACTTTGACACTTTAACAGCCAAGATAGAAATGCTAAGACAGCAGAGATACAAAGGAGAGAGCTATGCAATCCTTTTAACCAACAAGATATTATAAGTAATGCAATTCTAAGAAATGGATAAAAAAGAGACACCCAAAAGTTGTTCTGTTCACCTTGATCTTATTCTTTATTCTAATCAAATTAAAATAAATAAAAAAGCAGATAAGAAACATTCATATTAGAAAGATCCAAATCAGATAAAAAAGATTCATAACAGATAAGGAATATACTGATCAGATCAGACAAGATTGAAAAAATCAGACCAGGCAAATATTGAACCATATGTTATACTGCACAAAGCTTATCACCCATATTTTTTGTTTTCATTGATATTATTGTATTGATATTGTTATATTGCTACTAAAATTGTAACTATTAATACTATAGTTATATTTTGTGAATGTTATCCGATTTATAATTATTTTTATTTAATACAAATAATAAATACTATTTTTTCCTTTTATATTAATAATAACACTTTCATTTTTATATTTATTTATTATTTGGTGAATTTATATTTAAATAGTTCTTATAATCATAATAAAACGTATTTTGTTTCATCGGAAATATTGTTTTTTTCTTAGCACTAGTAGTACTAAGAAAATTAGAGCAAAATAAATCATTTATAAGTATTCAATTCATTATAACAATATAATAGTAGTACTGTACTCCTATTATATTGTTATTTATAAGCATTCAATAATTATTATTTTGATAATAATAATAATAGTAATGATTATTATTATCGTGGCTCTGGTAATAAAAAAAATAATTGTATTATGAGCTAATATGAATTATTACATTCTTTGCTAAATAAATTTTAGATTCGACTTGCAAATTTTTTTTGGAAAATGAAAACTGAAGTAGTTGAAATTATTTAGAAAAAAGAGAAGTAACTTGAACTATATATTGTTTTCTAACAACTACAAGTGATAATTCTGAGAAAGTATTATTATTACTACTACTATGATTAGTATGGCATTAATTAATCACAATAAACGAAAGATAAATAAATATTATTATTATTATCATTATTAATATAGGTATATTAATAGGAATAAACTTATAAGGATAGTAATAAACAATCATCATCATGAGATTCATTTTTAACATAAATAAAACTATGAAACCACAAAGATTCATGTAACACAAAAAATAATCTAACCAGATCAGAGCCATTCAGATCGCATTAGAAAAATTCAGATCAGAAAGGACAAATTAATATCAGAGTAAAAGAAAAAATCAATTGATATTATTATAATGCGATCTGAATTAAAAAAAAAACAGAGTACTCGGGCCTGTATTAAAAAGCTGTTTTCTTTTGGTCGGTGATTACTCGGGACAAAATTAAAAAAAAAAAAAGATAAGAAACAAACAGATCAGACACGGAAAACAGGCTTCTCAGCTTAATCAACCATCCATTTTTTGAATTTTGATATTTAATTATATGGACTCATAGTCTGAACTGCTTATCGAAGGAAAACCTTTTGCTTGGAATCTGGGTTATCTACTCGGCGAGTACTCAGCGCGAGTACTCGCTACTCGGTCTCTTACCTTGCAGAATAGCACCTTAACTCGGCCCGAGTTAATTTTTCGAGTTACTTGCCGAGTACTCGGCAAGTTAGTCAACTCGGTGAGTTAGTCAAATTGGCGAGTACTCGGCTATTACTCGGTATTAAAAAAAAAGACATGTGCTAACAAAACCTATGAAATTAATCGATACTGGTCATCTGTTTGGAGCTTCGACTACTGCTGCTACATCGTTTGGAGCTGCGACTGCTACTGTCAGGAGCTCCGACCGCTACTGTGAGGAGCTCCGACTGCTACAGTGATACTGCAAGGAGTGATACTGCAAGGAGCTGTGAGTGCTATAGTGCTATTGCGATTGTTAAAAAATTTAAATTTCTTAGTTATTAAGTTCCCTTTTGTTAAAAAAAATAAATCAATCTTGTCATTATCCAAACTGCTGTAGCTGCAATGTTTTACTATTGAATTCCAAGCTGCTAAGTTTCTTAGTTATTAAGTTCCTTTCATATTAAGCTTTCATTTTTATATGAATTTTTCCTTGGCAGTGTGTGTGTTTAGAACTTTAGTCAGAATTGATATCACCTCTTTCGTATATTCCCCTCTCCCTTGTCTAATTTCTTATTACCCCCCCCCCCCCCCTCCTCTCCTTCATGATAAATACACACTCACAAAATCTTTTAATTTATAGTCATGAACTCTGCTCAGTCTGCGTATAGACTGCTAGATATTGATTTAGATGACCTGGAAGTGGAAGAGGAAGAACAAGTGGGGTATCTCACTACTAAAGATCTATTTGGGGACATGGAGGATGAAGAAGGAAATCACGACCTTGAACCCAACGAAGATTAATATCAGACCAACTTATTAGAGATTGATTGCTTTATGACTTTTGCTACTCCATCATTAGGATAATAGCATTTCTATCTTTTTATTCACTTCTATGCATTTTAAGACAATTTAAAGACTATTTTAAGACTATTATATTTCTATAATCTCAGGCACCTATATTATTATATTTAATTAATACAGGCCCGAGTAATCGGTCCTACTCGCTACTCGGCCCTTGACCGAGTAGCTACCGAGTAGCGAGTTAACTACTTAGCTTGCAATAGAGGAACATTGTGGGAGAACCTTGACAACATTCTTCTTAAACAATGTCAAAATTGCATCAGTATCAATCATCGATTCTTAATAGAGATACCTCAGACTCTCAGAGCACAATCCTATTCTTACTGGTCAGAGGAATGAAGAAATTGCGGGTTTCATATTTTCCTTTATGTTCTCGCTTGTTGGATTTCGCATCCAAAATTTATGAATGTAGTGCAGCAATCTTGAGGAGAACCCCTTCTACCTTATCCAAGATGGCTATATGGCATCTCGTTTAAACTTAAGAGGCCTAAAAAGGTTTTGAAGGCATGAAATAAAATCTACATTTGAGAACATGTTTGATATCATCAAAAAACTGAAGATTGTGCAAAACCAAAGGATATAGAATAGGCGAATTTTATATTCCAGATTTCCAGGATGCTAGGTAAGCTTTACCGCTAATGCTAATCTGAATTTTCACATTGCTAGCGAGAAACCTTATTAGAAACAAATGAGTGAAGTTACATGTCTTAATGAGATTATGAGGAAAGCAATACTGCTTTCGTTGATGCAGAAGTGGCTGGAAATGGGAGTAAAGCTAAGATCCAAGGGAAGCAAGGATGGGGTTCAGACCACTGACCCTGAGTGTGTTAGACAATTTGTAGTGGACTACTTTAATGACAAATTTACTGACTTTACTCAGGATCAGTCGAGTATAGAAAAGTTGGTGTATGATATTTCTAGACTCATCAACAAAGGAGATATTCAAATGCTAAAAAGCCTAAAATTAAACACACGATTAGCTAGAAATCGCAGAGATGGTATTCAACATGGTATCTGCTAGCATTGCAGGACCAGATGGCTTTGGAGGGGCTGCCTTTTATCTACATACTACAATCTTAGGATATTATCAACAATGGTACTCCCTTAGTCCCATAGTACTGTTCCCATAAGTAAAATGACACTCAAATTAAGCAAGTAAAATGACACGCGAATTAAAAAAGTAAAATTGTGTGGTTGATATTTGTTTAGAAAAGCAACAAAGAATATCTGCCAAACAATACTTTTGTAAAGAGAAAAGGAATATATTTTTGGATAGCCAAATAAGGAACTAGTCCTTAAATTGGTAGGGAGAGAGTATTATGGAGGGAATGAGAGGGTATTTCTGGGCAAACTGATTCATCACCTACTGTGATTTTATCACCTAAAAATTAGAACCCTACATGTTCGAAATATTTTAGGCCTATTGGTGTACGCAGCACATCTAATAAAATCATTACCAGGGTCTTGAACAATAGATTGAACACTGTTTCCCCCAAGCTTATCTCTGCTAAAGTGGTAATCAGGATAGGTTTACACCTAGCAGAAGTATTGTTGACAATATCCTTCTGGCTCAAGACACGGAGGAACAAATAGACAGAAAATGCATATGAATGGGACAAAGTGACTTCAGAATCATCCTATTCAAAGTTCTGAGGCAGTTTGGACTTGAGAATTCTTCCTATTTGAAGTTATGAGGCTGTGCGAATTCTGTAAATTTGCTGATGATATGGTTACCTTTACCAGGTAACTCCCAACCTGAATCTTTTCAGCCTTCCATCTGATCAAAACTCAAAAGTACTAGAGGGAAAGGCCAGTAGATTCTGTAAATTTGGCTTAACCAAATACGAATGCTATTGAACCCGAACTACTCTTTTTCTTATGTTTGAAGGGAGAAAAAGTTGTTGGTTGTGCGATTTGCTAAACTGGGTCATAAATGTGAGAAGATAATGGCTTTAGAAGTTAGAACTCAGATAAAAGCCAGATATTGTGATGCAAAATCTATTGTTTTTGTTATGCAAAATCTTTGAAAAGTTGTTTTCTCCCCAAAAAAGGCAAAGAGAGGCGTTTATCCAGAGCTAAGAAGTAATATACTAATATTTGAAGCACATTAGTGAGACTACTGTTGTAAATCCTCCTCTGTAAGGAAAGTTCGAACTAACAGCTATTGTTAACAAACTAATGATTTTTTTTACTATGGCTACTTATATTAAAGATCAACAGTACGAAGATTACTTCAAATCAACAGAATTACCTGTACTTGATCATTTCAGGGAAAATCAGAACATCACCATCTGATAAGTGCATGCCATCACCTCCTTCACAGATTGTCAACCGTGTCTGCCGAGCAGAAATACATGAAATTTTCATTTATTTAGGCATTACCATCATGGTCACAAAAAGCCGCTAATGATAAAACTTTGAGCTAACACCAACCTTGACTTTGATATCGTTCCTGCGAGCTTTGATGGAAGCAGAAAGCAACTTAGGAAGCAGATCAGAGTCCGAGTCCTCAACGCTAGAAGGCCAGGTGTCGTGAGACTGGTAGGTGAGGAACACGTGGCGCTCGTAGGGCGGTTTAACAGTGCCGGCAAGGTCACACTCATACATTTCAGACCTCTGGAACCCGAATTTTAAGTCATCGCTGACGGCAGTAGCTTCGGTGAAATTCTCCTGTTCTCCGGCCATGTTGGAAGGTAGGGTTTGCGGACAGTTAACGAATGCTTAGCCAATAATAGAGGGATTTTAATGGCAAGAGTTAGACCTGTCACAAACTCACAACTCACAATAGAATCCGAAATGAATCTGAATTCCGCTGTATAGCTTAAATACTCCGTAAGATTCATTGACACTTTTAGGCCTTGTTTGGTAAAGGGACTCTTAGCGGCAGTTGTTGTTAGTTGGTTGTGTCAGCTGTTTCCTAATTGCTGGTTGTGTTTGTTATATTGACCGGCTGGTTATATTAGCTGATTATAAATAACTATTTGGTAAAATTGACTGTTTTGAAATGGCTGATAGAATGTAAAAAGACATATAAAGACATAATAATACTCATTATATTTTATTATTGCTAAGAATGAAAATTTTATAACTATTGTTACTTCAACGATATAAAACATTTTTATAACTGAATATTTTAATTTTTTTGAATAAAATCTATTTTAATATCTACTTTGATATATCAAATGTTCATCATGCTACAACAATTTATAGTATCTAATTGGGTAAAATAAATAATATAACCCGAACTTTGCCTTAGTGTGAGCACCCCACCCCGAACTTGTCCTAGTTTAAAGAATACCCCCAACTTTATTTATTTAAATTTTTTGTACCATATTTTAATTAACAAATAATATTTCTCAAATTATAATATGTTAATTAGATTTAGTTGTCAAAAAAAGATTAATCAACATATTTTTTGTACTTAAATTAGAGATTTTGAAGTTATTTAATCAATTCGAAAAGCACACATTAATTTGGGAATCACACATCTTTTTTTTCCAACTAAATCTAATAAAAATATTACAATTTGAGAAATCTTATTTGTTTATTAAAATATGGTACAAAAATATTAAATAAATAAAGTTGAGGGTATTTTTTAAACTATGACAAGTTTGGGGTGGGGAGCTCACACCAAGGCAAAGTTCGGGGTATATTATTTATTTTCCCCTATCTAATTTTATAATCACTCAATCATCTAAACCAGAAACATCAAATTAATTCAAGATAGAGAGCATAACTAATAATATAAAATATTAGTTAAGCATATATTATTTGTCTAGATAGTACTACGTATTTGACTAAACAAGTTTTGTTTAAAATAATTAGAGTAATTATTAGTGTATATTACTTAAATGATTAATTTAAAAAATGCTAACTCAAAACAATGAAAGCAAAAGGAGCGAAAAGAAGAAAAACTGGTAAGCAAAATAATTGAGTTGACTAAGTTAAAAAAAAAAGAGCATAACCACAATGAGAATAAATTGGAGTTATATGCATTCACTTTGGGAGCTTAGAACTATACCCTTATGGGAATAAATTGAATCGGCCGAATGAAGAAACTGCTCCCCTTAGCTTATTCAACCATCCATTTTTTCAGCTTTTCAAACTCAACAAGCTACTTTTAAAGTCATTTACCAAACATTATTATTAGCTTCTTTGACTAATCAAACAGCTGAAATGGTCAAACAAGCTAAAAGCTAGCTGATAAGCCATTTGCCAAACATAGCCGGCCTTAATCCGGTCATCGACACTTTTGGTACTCAACTTTGAATTTTCCATTTTTAATTCTTGATTATTGTGATAGAGACACTTTTGGTACCCATCTTTGAAAACATCCATATTTAGTTCTTCAACTATCATCGTTTTTTGTCCTTCAAGTCTTCAACTATTATAATGGTGACATTTTTAGTCATCTACTTATTGTGTCTAAATCATAATGGGAGGACTAAAAGTGTCAATTTGACAATAGTCGGGGACTAAAAGTGCCTCTAGCACAATAGTCGATGATAAAAAATGGAAAACTTAGAAGTGCCTAAAGTGTCACTTACATAATAGTTGGGGGCCGAAAGTAGCAAAAAGTGCCAAAAACTCACTTAAATAATAAGGATGCATGTATTAAAATATACTCTGTATGGGGGAGTATATAACTACCGGGCTAGGACAAGAATAATACTAAAAATTAATTAATTAGAATATAAAAAAGAGATTGAATAATTTGAGTTTGCATCGTATTTTATTGTCTAAATTGGACTTTGCATCCTGTTTTTAAAAATTTTTGTATTTGCGCTTCGACCCTGTATGAAAAGACAAAAATGTCTATCCATTAACAATTTTGTTGGCCTTCAACATGTTCCTGATCGAGGGGCATTTTGTCTTCTCATATGGGGTTGGGTGCAAATACAAATTTTTTTTAAAAAACAGGGTACAAAGTCCAATTCAGATAATAAAATGGGGTGCAAACTCAAATTATCCCAAAAGATATCTTATATTTCAGTTTTTAAAAGGATATTAAAAAGAGTCTAAGAAACTATTACTTATAACTAATATAATCACATTGTACGAGTGCTACAACAATGTCGCAGTGACTAATGCCTAGTGATCATTCGAGTAGTGAAACTCGACAATGTCGCAAACGGTCACATTGACCAACACAGTCGCTGGTCACACTGAGATATGCTATCGCCGATCACAATGATTATTCGTTCACAGAAATTGCCAGTGTCACTTATAGTGACCATCACGATCAGGCACTATAGTGACCACGTGCTCACAATGACTAAAGCTTGAAAGATACTCCATACAATCAATGGCCATTATAGTAAAACGAAGACTATTGGGTAATCTTTTTGTTTGGTTTTTTAGATATTGGGCTATCTAATGATACTATCTTTTAAATCCATCAGGCGGAGCTAGGGCATTGGGCCGGACTGGGTCAGTACAAAGAATATTTTTGGAATTTTTTTTACATGCAATTTTTTACACTAAAAATACAAGCATTTTTAAAATTTGGACTGGACCTGGGCCAGGGATGGCCCTCCCCTAGCTCCGCCCATGAAATTCATATATTATACGTAGTAAGTTTTATTATTATAACAAGGATAATATGAAAAGGCACATTTGTAAAATTAGTACAAAAATATGTATTTTGTTAAGAACGAAAAAATAAGAAATAAGAAAATTTAACAACACATATATACTGAAAATTAAGCATTTCTCAAAAGTAACATAGAAAAAAATTAAATTAAATAAATATACTAAATTAAACAATATCAATTCAAAACCATTCTCTATTTATAATTAACGGTAATGAGATTGAAAATCACTTTGGAACTTTACCGTTGCAGTGCTTTACCCCGTTGCTTTTTTAATTAAGTTAGTATACCAATTATCAAGAAATTAAATATATTTGATAATTACCATTTTAGTTCAAATTGTTCTCATTTCTAGCAAGTAGTTTGTTTTGACTAATTTACTTGCCCAAGCTAGGAAAGATGTGCTCCAACGGTAGACTAGTAACTTCAAAGCTGTGAACGCTTTATACAAAATATAAGCTTAGGTTGTATTGCCTTGGCGTAGTTGGGTCCACACCCCAATCGGCTAGGGAGTCATAATTATTCTTGTTCATTGTTTTTGAGTTTATAAAAAGAGTGAATTCCCTAAATAGGACAAAAAAGTGGAAAAATTGCACAAATAGGACTACATTTTTTAAATTCCCTTAATAGGACTATTTATGTGTGTTTGGACAAATATACCCTTGTAACTTGTGAACTGTTTTAATTAATAATAAAATCATAAAAAAATTAATAAAAATCGAAAAAAATACTAAAAATCGTAAAAAAATAATAGAAAATTAATAAAAATATTTTTTTTAAAAAATAAAAAAAATATTTTTTTTAAAAAAAATAAAAAATAAAAAAAAAAATCATAAAATTAAAAAAAACACATTACCACCCCTGCCACCCCCAACACCACCATCTCCCATCACCGGACAAAAATATGCCAACATTTTAAATAATGCCATAATGATGGCATAATCAATGAAAATCTTGGCATATTGAAGAGTAATTATGCCATCTTTTTGGCATTTTCAGAAAAATATGGCATTTTTTTACCAAAAGTGGAAGAAATTTCACCAATCGAAGGTGGTGGTGCTGGGAGGCGGCGGGAGGCGGTGAGAAAGGTATCCATAATTTTTTTCATTTTTTATGGATTTTTACTATTTTTTATTATTTTTTTAAAAAAATTAAAAAAATAAAAAATTAAATTTTTTATTTTATAAATGTTTTATAATTTTTTTTTAATTTTTTTACGTTTTTTAAATATTTGTTTACGTTTTTTGTGATTTTATTATGAATTAAAGCATTTCATTATGAATTAATACTCTTAGGGGTATTTAGGGTAGAAAATCAATGTTTAGTCCTATTTAGGGAATTTTAAAAATAGTAGTCCTATTTGTGCTTTTTAGGAACTTTTTAGTCCTATTTAGGACAATTTCCGTTATAAAAACTAAATCAATCATTAATACTCTCAATCGTTCCTGATCCACTCAGCCCCTCAACCACAGCAATACCGCCAAAGCCCACATTCTTGTTTGCAGCCACGCACCATCTCGCAGAGGGAACCGGTCCACCAGCCGAGCTCCGCCTCAACCCTACACCATCATCCTCCATTCTTCCCTTTCGTTGCAATCGCAAAAAGAAAATAACCGATCAAAACTTAGCCCTGCCAACGAAATAGATTGCGGCACCAAAACCCTATCGCAGACAAGCTGCGCCTTCCGCTTATCCAAAATTTCTGCCCGACTTTGCTTCGAAGTCATCACTATTCTTGTGATTAAATCCCCGAAAATTATGAACTAGCCAAACAATCTGTAAACAAAATTAACTATAAAGCTAAAACCATAAATGAATTTGGATTAAAGCCAAGGAGAAGCCGCACGATTGGATTCGGTGGATGAAAAGCTGCACGATTGAATTCGATAGATGAAAAACCCTACGCAGCACTTGTGAGGGAGAGAAACCTACTATAGAGGATTCCATATATACCTTTGCTTTTAATTTTCAATTAACCCAAAAAAGGAATCACCCACGCCAAATGGTCCATACCCTGATCCCACAAAATTGTGAAGTACTAAGGAGACATTACATGAACTCACAGACTCTCGTATTGCTGCAAATTGCAATTGAAACCACCGTTGAGCTACTCATGCGGGTGAAAAAATTGAAACAAAGAAAGTAATTAAAAAACGTTAGTGTTTAGTAAAAGTAATTTGTATAATAGAAAAAAAATCAAATCATCACACCTCTACTTAAAGCTTCTAATT